GCTATGTTGCCCCGCTTTCCCCTATATATATATATATATATATATATATATATATATATATATATATATATATATATATATATATATATATATATATAATATATATATATATATATAAATATATATATATATATATATATATATATATATATATATATATATATATATATATATATATATATATATATATATATATATATATATATATATATATATATATATATATATATATATATATATATATATATATATATATATATATATATATATATATATATATACTTTATACAGAAAGTTTAAACGCACTTAATATTTTAAAAGTTAAGGTATGTTTAGAGTGAAAGAAAAAACATGAGGCAGCTTCCTGGTTATTTTTTTTCTTATTCTTAGCTGATTATTAATTAAGAAAAAAAAACACAACTTAAAATAAAAAAAACACTAAGTCTTTTCTGAAATTAAACAACTCAAGTAATCGAAAGATTACTTAGAAAAAAGTGCAATAAAGTTTAAATGCACCTACAACTTCTTTTAATCGAAATATATTAATACGGAATATGACCCCCGTTGTTTGTAATACATGCTTGTATTCGCCTTGGCGTTGATTCAATCAAGTTTTTATTCATCTTGATGTGGCTCGGAAATCATCTTGATGTGTCAATCTTGATGTGTCAATCTTGATGTCATCTTGATGTCATCTTGATGTCATCTTGATGTGTCAATCATCTTGATGTGGCTCGGAAAAAATAAACATAAAATAAAGAAAATTTTTTAAACTTCAACTGGGAAGAAAATACCCTTAAAAGCTTGGTATATACTTTTCCAATAGAGACAATTTTATTAACATCAAACAATGGAACGAAAGTATTGCCATTATTCAAAAGAAAATTAAACGCTGGCAAACGTTTAATTTATCTTTTAAAGGAAAAAGAATAATAGTTAACCAAATACTCTTAAGTAACCTTTGGCACTTAGCTTTTACGTTGCCAATACCCAAAGAAAGAATTATTAAATATATTGAAAAAAATTTTGAGAATTTTCTCTGGAGCAACAGCTCAATCAAAACAAACCAAAAAGTTTTTAAACTTCCCATTAACCAAGGAGGTTTAAACATTATCGACATAGGCGAAAAACTAAAATCCATCCAGTTAACATGGGTGGTAAAAATATTCAATCACACCCTAACAGGCGCGTGGAAAGTCGCTGCGACGCACATTTTCAATAGTTATAGAAAAACTAATCAAGGCGAAAATATTTTCGTCACAAACCACTCAAGCAGTGCAATAGATATTCTACCTGTGTTCTACCAGCAACTAATTAAAAACTGGAGTCACATATTCAACAGCGAAAGCGACATAAAAAATATGTCGATTGAGGAAATCCTCAACCAGCCCCTTTTTTACAACAATTTTATTAGAGACAAAAATCACCAAACTCTTAAACCTAAGCAAGAAACAACTCAGAACCAAATATATAAAATATCTGACCTTGCAAAGGTTTTTGTACCGGGTTTCTTGGACTACCAATTAGCCGGTCTCAAAAAACAACTTTTTAAAAATTAAAAACTCTATTGCACGCGTTTGGAAAACAAAAATTTAAAACGAAGGTCAATCTTATGACCGCAACAAATCAAACTTCACCCTAAGAAACTTTATACACCCCCTAAAACCGGTTTTGATCACCGATTTAACATCAAAATCAATTTACAATTTTCTTATGAAAAAGAAATACAGTTTGGGTGTAACAACCCTGTTTACCAGATGGAACTCCGTGTTTGAAAAGAGTATGACGGGAACCTCCTCAAAGGAATGGTCTCTCCTCTTTCAGAACATATTTAAGAAAAATAATAACAACAAAGCAAAAAAAATAAAATATAAAACCATTCGCTTTGCGTTACCCACAAACTCCATCTTTAAACGCAGAGCTCATGCGCCGGATGACCTCTATCCCCAATGTATGAAAGATAGAGAAACTTTATCTTTCATACATTGGGGTTAGAGGTCATCCTCTCACATGATATATAGTTGCAAAAAAGTACAACCTTTAATTAAATACACAATATTTTTGCTAAATAAAATTTATCCCAGTAGTAAACCTTTTAAAAACACTTTAAAATATTATCTTTTCGGTTTTGTTGAAAACGCGCCAAAATTTTATATCGGTAACCTATTGCTTGAGCTTATCATGAGAGCGCAAAAATAAGCCTTTTAAGACCTTATTCTTAAATGGCTTATTCTTGCGCTTATTTTTATATATCTAAAATTAAAAAAATACTACAGATCGAACACGACATTGCGAAAGAAAACAATCAACTAAACTCTTTTCTAAATGAAACTAAAGAAATAAGAGATATAAACGGAAACATAAAACTAGAAAACAAACTAAATCAATTTTTGAATTAAATCAAAGAAACCTTATATCTTTTGAAAGACCCAAACTTTTGTTTTTTTTATTTTTTAATTTTTGCCTTTTCTTTTTACTTTTTCTAACTTTTCTAAACTCGCTTATTCTTGCTGCGCTCCATTTCTCGACTTGAAAAGCATAGAAAAACTTTTTAAATATTTTTATGTAATTCTTGTCAAGTAGTCCACAAGGCAATTAGCTGGCGGACTTTTGAAATATAAACACAATAACATCAAGTTTTCAATCATCTTGATTAGTATTTTAAGCCACAGTTTGGTCAGTTCTTGTATGAGTATTGTACTCGTGACTAGTTATTTGCTTTTTTGTTAGTTGATAATCCATCCAGCTCCATAAATTTTCGATCGGATTTAAGTCTGGTAATTGCGCTGGCAAAGGCATGAGTTGAATATTATTTTTAAGGAAATGATCAGTAATCGAATGTGCTGTATGGCATGGAGCATTGTCTAGGTATAACTAGGGATAAGCGTGTTTTCCAAAATGTCACGATACTCATACTGGTTTAATCTTCCTTCATATATTTTATGACAGCCAATGCCTGAGCCTGATTACATCCCCATATGCCGAAGGAACCACCACTTTTAAATACGGCTTAGTAGGTGTTGCTTCAAATATTTTTCCGTATTTTTATGACAAAAAAATCTATTTTTTTTTCTCTTTTTAATTTCGAAATTTGATTAATCACTAAAGATAATCATTTTCCATTGTTCTACTGAATAATTTAAACGCTCTTTGCACCATTTTTTTTTTGTCTTTGGCGATCGGTTAACGTCAACAAAGGCTTTCTTACACCATGTAACGACCAAATTCTTACACCATGTAACGAATTTATTTCTTTCTTGCGTAATTACTTACTTATCTTCACTCGACTAATTGTTTTGTCTACCAGCGAACTATTGATTTCTGCACATAAAGTTGATACTCCCACTTTTGGGTTACGTCTGCTTAGCGTGTAAAGCATGTTTTCATTGCGTGATGCCTGTTTTTTCGGACGCCCAATACCAGGTTTATCATTGATACTACCAGTTGATAAATGATTTTTTATTGTTGTACGAACGCTAAATTCAGAAATATTAAGATGTCTGCCAATTTCTCTATTGCTTATTTTTTATTTTATGCATTCCAATGACTTGTCATTTTGTTTTCGACGAAGAGCTCTTTTACCCATGAAAATATGATATTTTGACAAAGTTGGATCAGTTGAAAATTTTTGAATTGCTGAATTTTGAACCAAGCTGTAGTTTCGGTTTTTATTCAAAATAAACTAAGAATAGGGATCTTAAAGAAATATCCTAACACTAACAGGCTATTGAGTGATAAAAATGCAAAAAATTTCAATAAAAAAATCTCTCAATAATCGAGTGTTACGCGTTTTCTTATTAAAGTGCGTTTAAATTTTATTTCAAAAAGTTGAAAGGAGTTAATTGCTCCGTTAATTTTCTCATCACTCTTCACCTCTGTTATAATATTCGTACAATTTTTTCTCTCTCTAAATTAATTAATTATAGCCATAGTATAAATAAACATAAAAATACAGAGTACATCTCATCAATTTATTGGGTTATCATTTCTAAAAATAATTATATAAGTTAAAAAAACACGTGCGTTTAAACTTTCTGTACAAGGTATATATATATATATATATATATATATATATATATATATATATATATATATATATATATATATATATATATATATATATATATATATATATATATATATATATATATATATATATATATATATATCACGCAATAACGATCATCAGATGTAACAACAACAAAAAAGTAACGACAAAAGTAATATACAAAAAATGCTATAGAGTATCCGCTTTGATGACATTAAAGTTCTTTATTAGAAATTTATTTTCGTAGCGTTACTTTGTCACAAACTCGGTTCGTTTGTTAACCGTGTTGACAGCACTATGTATAATAAAAGTAAAATTTGTCTATGACCGCTGATTAAGTAGTAAAGGTTTGTATTGGCGCCAATTATGTTATAACAAGAAACACTGTAGAGTGTTGATCTGTCAGGGTTAAGATTTACAACGTAATTTAGCTTATACTTTACAACTTAACTTCGTTGTAAAGCGTCGCATTTAAGCAGTATGAATTATAATGTATTTCACATTATTTGCATCAATGGTTTATTTGCAATTACATTGCAGATAGGTATAGTATTTAATTACAGATAGGTATTGTATTTAATTATAGTAAGGTATCGTATTTACAAGTTGCTCCTGTCCCAACGGAGCTTTTACTTTCCCCTTCCCTGTGGCAAAAAAATGAGAAGTTTTTCTGGCTCCCACACCAAATTTTGAACTATTAGTTAATTTTGTTAATTTCCAGCATTTTTAAAACGATAAAAGCATCATTTTATAACCACGTTCAACATCTTATTATAAACATATTTTGCATAAAAATTTAGGCAAAGATTTATAAACGTTGAGACTTGCAAACTTTGCTATCTTTATAAATATATTTTTATAAATAATACTTTATTAAAATATCAGGTGATATTCTTGTTAGCGCATAAAATCTTGATAAATAATAAAGTAAAATAACAAAACAGTTACTTACTTAAGTGTACAAGATCTCCATCATCGAGAATGTCTTTTATTTTATCATCTTTATTAAGTATTCCAAAATGTTTAGAATGTCTAAGAAATAAAGTTTTTTCTTCTAATAAAACTTCTTCATCTGTACTGTTTTCAAAGGTTTTAGTTTTGCGTTTTAAGGTCTCATCAATTAACCAGCTAACTATTTCATCGCCGTTTCCACACGGAACCGTGTAACATACACCAAAATAGTTAACAAAAATTTTCATTTAAATTTATTTTATTGATTAAACTTTCAAACTTATTAAGTTAATGTAAAACTTAATAAAAATTGACTAAAATTTTAAACTTGATACATATATTTGTAATATATGTAGTTTTTAATATAAAATAAAAGATTAAAAATATAAAAGAAAAAGAAAGTTTTCAAACTGTTGTAAAGAGGTAACTATGCGCATTATGTTACCGTGTAACTTATTTATACTAAGTTCAAGTACACGATATATAAAGCATTAAAAAACAAGTACACGATATATATAGCATTAAAAAAAATCAGCTATATACTAAAAAGTTTACTAAAATTTTAAAATATATTTAATTTATTAGTATGTCTTTTTTGTTATTTATAATATAATCCGTCAGATATTTAGATATCAAAAAACAATTAAATTTATTAAGTGTTATCGTTTACGTTATGGAAGTAAAAAGCGTTTACGCAAACTCAGTTATTATTAATATTTTTTTAATACATTATTAACGACAGAATTTCATATAGTTAACTTTATTCAGATTACAATAGCGTGTTATTAATATTTAATGCTTTCCAATAGCTCAATATGGTTGTGGTCTTGGAGTAGCTGTGAAAGCATATTGTGATTAATATGAAATTTAAAAAACACTGACAAAAATTAAAAAAACGAAACAACATTACCTGAATTCATTAATAAAAATATTTTTTAATAAAAAAAAAAAGTTTTAACTTCAACAAAAATTTAAAAAGAAATAAAACGATAGTAATAAAACGATAAATAAAATAACGATAAATAAAAATGTAATGGTAATAACAGATATTAGTAGAAAAAAAGCAGAGCTGATTGGTTAAATTATTGTTCAATCAAATGATAATAACTAATTAAAAGCAAACGGAGTATTTAATAAACAACTCAAAATAACAACCAACAAAACAACGTTATCGACATAGAATTGCCGCGTGGTCAAGGCTAAAACTCGTAAAACAAATTAATGTTCAATGCTTTAGTCAAGTGTCATAAAATGCACAATCGCCTTAATTAGTTAATTAAAAATGCGTAGAGATTAAAAAATTTCTTAGGCGACTTAATGGAAAACACACCTCCAAACATTCTTTTTAATTATAAAAAAATTATCGACTTTATTGAATTTAATTATATTCTTTTTACTGTCTGTGTATTAAAAGGAATGTTTTAAGTTTGTTACTTGTGTTACATTTGTGAATAAATAAGAAAGTACTTAATTACAAGTTTTGTTTGACTTAGGAAGCGTAATTATGAAATTTTTAAAATGTCATTCTTTTCTCAGTTGAAAAGTCTTAAATAACTATTTTATATTAAAAATAGTTACGAAAGAAAGACAACAAACAAAAATTAAATATTTTACCTTAATACCCAGACAGCAAGTATATACTGGTCCAATAATGGCTTGCCAATGACAGCGAATTCTATAAATGCCCGATAAAGTTCCGTTCTTGTATTGCCAGTTCTGGGAAGCCGTAACAGGGCCATTGCGGAGCCTTTATAAAATTGCCTGAGCTGAATATCCGCAAAAAAATCCATTAACGGTCCAACAAAATTTTGCCGAAGCAGAACAACAGGCAATAAATCAAATTAATAATGATATAAACAAGAGCATTTGCGTTTACTGCGTAGAATTTTGCATCTATCTTGAAAGTCGTTTTTTTCAGTTTTCATGCAAATATATCTTAAAACTTTATTGTTTAAAAAAATAGTTTCAGGTGATTCTATATTGCGTACATAATAATTTCTAAATAAATTTTAAAAATTAATATTTATGTTTTTTTATATAATTTTTAAATAAATTTTTGCAATTAATTCTTTTGTTAAGTAAATAAAGTTTCATTTGGGAAGTGTTGTTACACTACAAATAACATGATATATTAAAATTGTTCACATTAAACATTAACCACAGTGATCCTCAAACTCCCGGGAATTTCAATTTCGGGAATATCGGGAATGAAAAAGCCCGTTACCGTTACCGGGAATGAGTTTTTCAATATTTTTTTTATTTCTAAAACCTGAAAATTTTTAATCAAAAAATACAAAAAATGATACAAAGAACTCAAAATTTATGTTTAAATCTACTTTATTAATTTATTTCGAAAATAACATTTAAGAAAAGAAATAGCATCGATGTTTTCATCACAAAGACGGTTGCGAACTTTGCTCACAAGAATATTTGCTTCCGAAAAACGACGTTCTGCAGCTACTGATGTTGCTTGTATTGTATGCAATCTCTCGAAAAGTATATCCAGAGTATATATCATAATACATAATATATACTATATTTACCTTTGATAGTTTTTCGAAAATAACTTTTTCACTTACTTTTAAAAAAGTTTGTACAAAGCACTTTAAAAAATATTTCATAACTAATTACTAATTTGTTTTACGCGTTTTTACAACGTTTTTATAAGGTTGTTTTCTTGGTGTCTGTCTGTCCGTCCGGTTAGAATCTTTGAAGCTATGTTTAACCCACTTCCCAAACAGCTAGAGCTCTGAAACTTTCAAGATATCTCAGAACCCAATGACAATTTAATTTAAAACCATTTCCAAGCTTCTTCAATCAATACTTCTCAAAATTTCAACAAAATTCAATTTTATATGGAGAAAAAAACAAACACGAGGTCAGCGGTTATAATTAAAGAAGTACGCCAACTTTAGTTGAGCGTTAATAAAAGAAATCATTAAGAACAGTAATTAAAACAAGCAACGTGAAGCTGACTTTAGTTTAGCGTAAATAAAATAAATCGTTAGGAAAAGTAATTTAAAATAATCTACAATAAAAAGAATAAATCTAAAAAGTATAAAATAATAAAAACAATAAAATTAAATTTTTCTACAAACAACGTTTTTCTAGCGTCCTAAAAAGTAGAAAATAATTTTTCTTTGAGCTTGTCAGAATGTCTGGTTGTATTCCTCTTATCATGATGACAGATTTTATAACAAATTTGATACACGTATTACGAAAAACGTTGGGCGCATGTCATAAGATATAAGAGCTATGATTGACTAACATTAATGGTTTCGTTAATCATACATCAGAGCAATATATCTTTACTGTGCCCAACGTTTTTCGTGATACGTGTATCAAATTTGTTATAAAATCTGTCATCATGATAAGAGGAATATAACCGGACATTCTGACAAGCTCAAAGAAAAATTATTTTCTACATTTTAGGAGCCTAGAAAAACGTTCTTTGAAGTAAAATTTATCTTTATTGTTTTTATTATTATATTGCAACCATTGCACCACCAACTAGAGGTAGACTTTAGAGTAAAATTTATGAAAATTCATTTTAATACATACAATTTCGGGTACATTTAAAGATTAAAATTTTTTTAACACCTGTAAAGTGTATTTCCAGGTATAAAAAAAATTTTAAACTTTAATTATACCTGCAATTACAACTATAAACTTTAAATATTACTTTAAAAAAAAGATAATCTACATATTTGTATTTAAAAAAAATTCCCGGGAATTTCTCGAAAAAAAACGGGAACGGGAACAGGGATTGACCAAAGAGGTTCCCAGGAATTACCGTTCCCGGAATTCCCTTGAGGATCACTAATTAACTATTAAGTTGGTTTAATGTTTAAATTATATTTTTTTCACTAAGCTAAAACTGGTTTAAGAAACTTAAAACCTAAGTTAGTTAAAGAAACATAAAACCAAATTTATGATAACTGAAAAATGATTGATATTTATAAAGAAAAACTGATAGAAATGTTGGTTTGATAGAAAAGAAAATATATAAAATGTATGTATATTATTTCGTAGATTACTTAAACAATTTTGCTTTATTTTATTAATTTTTTGTTGTCATATTTAAAACTTTTCTGTAATATAATTTGATTGTTATTAACACGTTTATCTTTTATATTCTTATAGTTTAATAGAAATAATATAAAGATAACATTTTCTTTATAAATATAGTATTAGAATGTTATTGTGTTATGCAAAGTTTTGGAAGTCAAAAAATGGATACCTAAGTATTACTAACATATGATTAGGAAAAGTTACCAAATCTATATATCTAGATTTGAACATATAAGTGTTATTAACATAATAATTTGAAGGATTCGTTGTTGACTTTATTTTTTTATCTTTTTTTTTTTGAATTTATTCATTGTTTAATATTTTTTTCAAATAAATTTGCTAATTTATTTACATATTTATACAATAAATAAACAAAGTTTTGATACACGTTATTAGTGTATGGTCTAACAAAAGTAGATACCAGACTTTAACAGCTTTTTACAGTCCTGTATATATTTATCGTAGAGTGTTAAAAATATAACTAAGTTTTTAACTTTCACAACTTCAATTTATAAATGGTTTTATTTGTCAGCTATTCTATTTATGAAAAAATAATGTTGACCATTTGATTTTTTGGATTGTTGTTTATGTATCATTTATTGTTGTCTTTTCTAATAGAATTTTTTATGAATATTTGTCATTAATATTTCTGTATAGTTTTATCACATCACCTCTTCAAAATTTTAATGTTGAGAGAAAGGTTTTTCAGTGAGTTTTTACATGATAAATCTTTTAAACTATAAACACAAATTTTTCTATGTCGGAGTTGTTCAATCATAATAACATGTTTCCGTATATTTAAACTCCTTAATGGGATTCAATATTCAAGGTGAGGTCTAAATAACGATGTACTAATAATGCTATATTTATTTTATCTAATAATTTCAAGAAGTGTTTGATTTGCCTAAATATCAAACTTCCAAACTCTAAATACCAAAGTTTTTGTATCCAGGAGCTTTAAAAATATAAAAAAGGTTATGAGCTACTAATGGGGAAAAAATCAAGGTTTATTGGTCAGAAAATTAATCAATTTTTGAACCCGGAGTCTTTAGGTATAATGGCGGCAAGGATTTAAAAATAATACGTTCCAAATCATTAAATTTCATAATTTTTTTTTCATATAGCAGAACATTAATCGACCAACATGTTTAGAGCTTCTGGACACCAGAGATCATAAAAAAAATAAAGTTATAAAGCCGAAGTCCTTTTGGAACTCAGCACCCCGTATGTATGTTCCAAACATTCTGCAACTGTGATAATAAAACTCCATTCCATATATTTGATGCCTTTTCTTATTTTGTTATTTTATATGAAAAAATTTAAATAAAATAATTTTAATTATTAGATTTAATAGTATTAATGTTTTGTTTTTAGAGTTTGTTTGTTATGATTAATGTGCCACGACATAAATGTAGCAAATATTAATTAAACTAATGCAAACACGTAATGTTGACACAAAAATGCCAAATCTCAAATTAAGTTGCTCATCTAAATCTGGTAAGTTTACACTTAATCAAATATGTTAATAATATTTCTGTTTTCAGTGTTCAAGTGGAGGAAAAGTTTTTTCCTCTTACTTTTACTATTACTAATGACTAGATTTACTGTGTTTTATAAAATAGTTTCTGTATATAAAAATATTTAGGAAGATTATGAGGCATTTTAATTTTTATTTTTAAATTTTTTATTTACTTTTTGTTTATTTAAAATAATTTTTACAATAAAAGTATGAATAAAATACACACAATAAAAGTTACAAATTTTGTTGACTTTATGATAAGAACACAAATACTCGCAGAAGGTCATCGAGAAACAAATCTTAAATAAAAAAATGTTTAAGATACTTTAAATTGTAATTATACTGTGGCAACATTTTAAAGTTATCTATTTATAATAAATGATAAATTGCGTATCATATACTTTATTTAAAATCTGCTGTAAATTAAATTAAATATCATGATTAAATTAAATGTCAAATCTCAAGACATGAAATTTTTAACAGAGTTTTGGTCCATAATAATCCAAGTAACACATGTTTTAATAAATATATTTGTAAGTATCCTTGTAATTGTAAATTTTCATTGTGATATTCGTTACATTTTTACAAAGTTCACAAAGTTAAAAAACTCCTTATAAAAAGATCCTTAACTCAAGTCAGTATAACTATGGTTTGTTGTTAATGGATCGAACTTTTTCGTCAATAATAAAAATAATTGTTATTGTAACATGATAACCATGTTGCTTGTTGTTACTATATTGTATAGCATATACGTAATAAATTAATAAGCTTATGTTTGTTTTTATTTTATTAAAGTTAAAACGGATGCAAGCACTAAAAAAGACAACGTTAAAAAATTAAGCAAAAATTTATAACGAACCATGTTGACGATTGGATACGAATCGCAGAAAAGCACCATTATCGAATGGTTATAAATCAAAACTTTGTATTATAATTGCGTAAATATATTTTAAAATTTAAGCCTGTTTTTTAAATTTATTCATAATAATTAAAATTGTCAATAATCACGTTTTTCATATATTTTATTGCCCTTAAACTAATAAAAAATACTTCAATTTTAAACCAAAAAATTACAGTCGATTATGTTAAAAACAACTTTAAATAAGTAAGAAGATGGGGTCGAAACGTAAAATGTAGGGACTTCAAATAGAATTGCCCGATGAAAATCCATAACAATCCCATGCACGTCCCGTTTAGTAAACAAAGACAAAATCACGATGGTACAGTAAAATACGATGGTATGTAAAAATGGCTAATCGTTGTTCTGCCAGTTTTTGTCCCGAACTGGCTAGCCGATGTTTTGTCATTGCTGGCAAAACAGCGGTTTTACGTTTAGACCCCATCTTCTTACTTATTTAAACAGCGGCTGTTTAGTCACGGCTGGTCCATGAAAAATCCTTAGAGCAAAACGGAGCTTCGCCAGCGTTGGCAGCCGGAGCCGGTTCAGCGCGGCAGCCTATATAGGACCAGTGCGGGACCACTATATCCTTGCTGTCTGGGTAGGTAGCTGAGAATTTTTGCACATATTATGATTACATGTACATTTTATGATAAAATACCACATAACATTCAGCCACAAGCTAATAGTGATATATTGTTAAAAAATTTTATATTTTTTTTAATTTTATTTTTTAATTTTTTTTTTTTTTCTGATTTTAAAATAAATTTTTAAAGGAGATTTTCATACTATAAAAATAGAAAAAAAAAACGTTAGCTTTTATTTTTATTTAATAATTTAAACGATAAGGGGTTCAAAAAAAGAAGATGGAACTAATTATTTAAAGATTTCAATTTATCAAATATTTTAGTATTCAGTTCAATAACTAAATACAATGATTTGTATTATTTTTTGTTTGTCTATATAGAGATTTTGAGTGGTCTACTGTAATTTTGTTATTCGGTTACATAATAGACCATTAGTGTCAGTCGCCAAAAATGATTAACTGATGACTAGTCCATATATCACTTGTTAGAAAGTTATAGGCTGGCTACTTAGGTAAAAAGATCACGAAAAAATAAAGTTTATTATTTACCAATAATATATTTTTTCTATTTAGGGAAAAAATATAATTTGTTTTTTTTGTTTGTTCGTTTAATTACAATAATTTTCTACATTTTAAAAACTAAGATTTAATATATATATATATATATATTATATATATATATATATATATATATATATATATATATATATACTTTTATTGTTAAATAAATATTTAATTGATTTAATTAAAAAAGTCTCATTAACTTTTAATTTCATTAAATTTAATTCACTATATATAAGTTTAGTTGTTATTTAATCACATGTTTAATCATTTAATCACATATTTAATCGTTTAAATGTTATTGTTTTAGAACATATTGAACAAATACATATAATGATGTCAACATAATAAAAATTGAGTAAACTGTCCTCAAGATTTATTGTTTGTTGTTCAATTAAAGTGGGTACGTTTGGTGTCGCCACCTCAAGAATCAAAAAGATTTAAAAAGTATAACAAGAAGAGACTTGCTGCAATTGCGTAAACCACAAATATGTTAATCGCTTTAATATTGGTATCAAAAAATGCTTCAGTATTTATAGTATATATGTATAACTTCTGTTCTTAAAAATTGCATTTCATAACTAATAGACATAAATGTTTTCAATATTCTAAATGAGATATTTAAAAGAGAGGTAAGAAAGCAGACGAAGTAAACATGAAGTGCTTACAACGTATTTTATACGTTATTGTTAAAGTATTTTAAACGTTAGTTTTTTGCCCAAAATACATCTATATCTATACTTTAATATAATTATAAATGACGTCAAAAACTTTCTTGTATTAATCTGAGTTTGATAAAACCTATGTTGCCAATCAAAAATCTGCACAACCTATAAATAGCACAACAATTTAAAGATCTATAGACGTATTAATAATAAAGTAAAACTAAAGAATCCCTTTTTACACTTTGTACATTTTGGTGAAACAAAAGAACTGAACACAATTTTAAATTTTTTTTATATTGTTTCAATTTAATTATTTATTTAGTTTTTGGAAAAATCAGGTTTTAATCAAAGTTGATATTTTTTGTTTAAATGGAAAAATAAGATAAATGCTCGGTTATAAAAATAATAATAATAATCACTTATAATTAATACTTAATTTAACGCTGCCGCTGCGCAGTCGGCCAGAATGGTCAATTTAAGGAGAAAATTAATAACTAATTTCATATTAGTGCTACATTCAATATATTTGGCATGAGTACCAATATAAGGTTAGAGCTTCTTTTGAAGGTGTTATTTTTTATTTAGTTGCTATGGATACCTATTTTTTTGCATAGCAACAACCTATTTTTAGTAGTTGCAGATTTGTTATGTGTGCTATAGACACTAAATTTGGCATGACATTGGTGTAAGGTCTGCGCCTCTTATTAAGATGTTTTTTTTTTTATTTGGTTGCTATGGATACCAAAATTTTGCATAGCAACGATCTACTTTTTGTAGTTGCAGATTTGTTATGTGTGCTATATACTCTAAATTTTGGATAAGCACCAGTGTAAGGTCTGCGCTTCTTATATAGGTGTTTTTTTTTTTGGTTGGTATGGATACTTATTTTGGCGTAGCATAAACCTACATGTAGTTGTTTTTGTGTGTCATACACACTAAATTTGGTAAGAGTACCAATACAAGGTATGCGTTTTATATTATGATGTTTAGTTTGGTTGCTATGGATACCTTATTATGCATAGCAACATCTTTTATATTTTCATAGTGACAGTGAATTTTATACAAACTCTTGACTTATTTACTGCAAGTTATTAAAAATAATAAGATTTTTAATGCTCTAGTGTTCCAAATAAATGTATGTGGAAAGTTTTTAATTTATGTTAATTATAGAATACTAACAATTTTAATTTACAATGTATAAATTTAAATTTTAATAATAACTAAAGCAAGAAACCAAAAATTAGCCTGTAAAATTCCATAAAAAGAACAACTAAACACTGTTTTTTTAACAGTCGCAGAACACCTTCTGGCAAAACCTTCTTCTTTGTACTAACTATTGTTCTTAGTGAAGAAATGACTGGATCACTAGAACAAAATAATCGTTTAAATAAATTTTCATTACATTTGATACGGTCACACTTGCGTTAAAATACTCGCGATACTTTTTAAAATCTTTATTCCGAGCCTCTATAGCTTCTTCACCTAAAAGTCCAATTGGTAATGTCATGTAATCAACAATACTGGGAGCATGAATTAGAATTTTGTGAATGCTCTGCCGCATATAATACCATGGATAGCACTCACCGTAAAACCTAGTTGTATGTGTACAGTATTCCCTGAATAAAACTGCATCAAGCTCAAAACCACATGAAATACAAGTCAGAACAACATGGAACATTTTTATAAGTTCAAAATTGAGTC